ATGGTTGACTCTTCTTTCCTTATGGATGTCCACATAACAATAACTATTAGAAACACCTTCTTTTACTTTCACCAGGTGAAGGAACTCTGCCCCTTTTCAAGTACTGCACTAGCACCAGAGCTCCTTATTTTCCTTCCCATCCCAAGGTTTGATTATTACAATACCCTGTCATTATTCAGAAGGCCAACAGCAAACCAAACAGTTCAACTTGTGTCACCCCAATTGCTAAGTGGAGAGAGGTGATGACAGCACAAAACATCAGTGTTTTATAACTTATTCTGATTTACAAGCCTAATTTCAGATTCAGAGTCTTGGCCCTTGTCTTCCTAACTCACTTAGGATTTTGATCAGGCTATCTCAGAAACCACCTCTTTTGCGATCTTTCTCTGAGAATACTATGAATGATGGAGCACAAGTGTGAACCTGAAGGATTTTCTAAGCAACAGGCCTCTTAGGAAATTCACCATCCCATGATCAAACTGAGCCCAAGGTCTCCAACCTTCAAATCACAGTGCAAGATTCTTCTCTTTTGGTAGGCATTTTCCTAACAGCCAAACTGTGGTGCAGCCCAACCAATCAACTGTCCAGATACTGTTACTGTATGGAGTGCTTTAAAGTACAATATAGAGCAAAAGAGATGGGTGCTTTTAGTGGCAGGATGAACTTGCCCAGCACTGAGACCTCTCCAAGTTTAAGGAATTAACTCACTGAAGAGTCGCTGTTGTCCACCTCTGCAGGATTTCACAGGCAGTCACCACCATTAGATCAATGGTGCATCAAAAAGTTGCTGACGGAACCAATATTAACAACCAGTTGAGAGATCCCCAACTCCAGAAGACAGACCCTTAACTCCCCTCTCCCCCCCAAAAAAATCCCACACACCACCCATACTCCAGTCCCCGCGTTCTCAAACTGGAGGTCAGGACCCCTCAGGGGGTCACTAGGTTATTACATGGGGGGTCATGAGCTGTCAGCCTCCACCCCAAACCCCACTGTGCCTCCAGCATTTATAAAGGAAGTTAAATATATATAAAAAAAGTGTTTTTAATTTATAAGGGGCACTCAGAGGCTTGCTATCTGAAAGGGGTCACCAGTACAAAAGTTTGAAAACCACTGAGGTAATGACTGTCCCCAGCAGCCACCCAGCCTAACCACAGCCCCACCTCTGCCACCACAACTGGCAGAGACCAGCCGCAACTGCCAGCCCCAGAGGCAGCAGGGTCAGCAGAGCTGCATCAGGTGGGTATGTTAACCGTTGCCAGGGCAGGCAGGGGCGCTGCTCAGATGGGAGCTGTCTCTCTGCCCACGTCCCTCACAGGGCACCTGACTTCTTGGATTGCGAGCGACAAGACCTTGCTTGGGGTGTACAGCGCCTGGCACTACTGAACCAGTCCCTTCTCTAGCCCCAGTGCCCGCGCCCAAGGCCCCTTCCCGCCCCCAGCCCATGCCGGCCCCTCCCCCAGCCAACGTCCCGCCGCCCCACTCCCAGCCGGTGTCCCAGCCCGGCCCCTCCCCGTTCTCAACCCCCAGCCAGTATCCCAGCCCCCTCTCCGCTTCCATCCCTGCCCGGCTCCGCTCCTGGCCCCCGCCCGAGTCGCGGCGCCGCCCCGCACTCACATCTGATACTCGTCTATCGCCTCCACCAGCTGCCCCCACGAGTCGAAGTCCGTTCCCTTCCTGAAGCTGGCGCCCCAGCGCTGCAGGAGGCTCCGAGCCGCCTCCGACATGGCCCCCGCACTAGGGCAGCATGCTCAGCCCGGGGCCGGCCATCACACGGGCGAGCCGCTCCCTCCAGCCCAGCAGCAGCACCAGCCGCCGACCAAGCCCATTTGCGGCTTCAACCGAACCTGGCGGCCGCCTCCACTCAGCCCCGCCCCCTCCCAGCGAGCTAGTCTGCGCCGGCCACACCCTCGGCCCCAACGGGCGGGGGCCGTTGCTAGCGAAGCAACCTCGCCCTAGCCCACGGCTCCAGGAAGGCGGCGCAGACCCTTCCGCCTCGGTGCGTGTCATGGGACGGGAGGTCACGGGGTCAGCAGGCAACTCTGCTCGTCCTGGCCGGGCCTCGAGTTTGGTGTCTGGTTGCTGGTAGCAGCGTCCTGCGCCTGGCTGGGGGCTCCCCGCGTTCCTCTGAGCGGTGCTGCTCCAGCTGTTCCTGTGCGGGAACTCCCCAGTGCCAGGTGAGCGGCCTGCGCCTTTAGGCAGTAACGAGCCACCCCAGCTCCCAGTGCTACTCAGAGCAAGGGTTGCGTTGGGGGGAAGTGTCCTGTGTATGTGAGTAGGAGGCTGCTCGTTGCTATTAGAGGGCGAGTCTCCTTGCAGTAGGAAACCAGTCTCCTCGCTGTCATTTTCTCCCTTTCATCTTCCTGTGTTTCCACGCTACAGGGGAATGTATTTAATAACCCTGGTTTCACACACTCCCCTTTCCTCACTAGGGGTCTATTTTCAGGCTGTGTTTAGACTCCTCTCTTGAGACAGGTGTGTTTCCCTGCCTGCATTTCGGAGACCCACTAGGCTTTCCCAGATCTATGTATATTTTAGTATCAGAGGGGTGGGGTAGTCGTGTTAGTCTGGTTCTGTAAAAAGCAACAGAGAGTCCTATGGCACCTTTAAGACTAACAGATGATTGGAGCATAAGCGTTCTGGGGTGAATGGA